ATCATCTGTTGATAAGCATTTGAGTTGTTTCCACCTTTTGGCTATTGTGAATAAAGCTGCAATGAACATTGGTGTATATATGTCTGTTTATAGTGCAGCTTTCAAGTTCCTTAGAAATTCCTAGCAGTGAATTTTTGGGTTATATGGTAGTTCTAGGAGCTCTGGTAGCATAGTGCCTAAGGCACTTGACTGCTAACCAGAAGCCCGGTGGTTCAAACCCACCAACCACTCCTCGGAAGGAAGATGGGGCAATCTACTTCCGTAGTGATACTGCCTCAGAAACCCAAGGAGGGGTCACTATGAGTCAGGTCTGACTCAACGGCACATAACAACAACATGGTAGTTCTAGTTTTAACTTTTTTTTTGATGAACTATCATACTGTTTTCAACAATGGCTGTACCATTTTGCATCCCAACCAGCACATCTTTGCTGACATTTTTTTTTTTTTTTTTTCAATCTCAGCTATCCTAGAGTGGATAAGGAGCTCCGGTGGGATAGCAGGTAGAGCATTTGGTTGGTTAACTAGGAAGTCAGTGGTTCAAACCTGCCAGCTGCTCCACAGGAGGAAGATGAGGAAATCTATTTCTATAAAGATTTACAGCCTTGGAAACCCAATGAAGGCCTCTATGAGTCAGAATCTACCTGAGAGTCGTGGTTTTGGTTTATTCCAGTGGAAGGAGCCCTGGTTTTCCAGTGGTTAAGCACCTGGCAACTAACCAAAAGGTCAGGAGTTCAAACCCACCAGCTGCTCTGTGGGAGAAAGATGTAGCAGCATGTTTCTAGAACGATTTACAGCCTTGGAAACTCTGTGGGGAAGTTCTACACCCTACAGGATCACTATGAGTTGGAATTGACTAGATAGCAGCAGTTTTTGTATCCTAGTGGAAATGAAATGGTATCTTATTGTGGTTTTGATTTGTAGCTCTTTGATGGCTAATGATGTTGTGCATCTTTTTATGTGTTTGATATCCATTTGAGAGTTCTCTTTGGTGAAATGTCTATTTAAGTCCTTTGCCCATTTTTAACTGGGTTGTCTTTTTGTTATTAAGTTCGTGAAATTTTATATACATTTTGGTTATTATATTCTTTTTGGCTATATGGTTTCCCAGTCAGTAGCTTGTCTTTTCATTTTTTTAGTAAAGTCTTTTGATGAACAAAAGTTATTCATTTTTATGAGATTCCATTAATTTTGTCTTTTGTTCTTCATGCTTTTGTTATTTTATTAGATAATCCATCGTTAAAGGCTAGGCCCAACAGCCAGCCCCTGAATTTTCTTCCAAAAATTTTATGGTTTTAGTTTTCACATTTAGGCCCTTAATCCATTTTGAATTTGTTTTTGTGTATGATGTGAAGCATGGAGCCTGTTTTGTTTTTCTACATGTGGAAATCCAATTTTCCCAGCACCATTTATTGAAGAGTCTCTTCTTTCCCCATTTAGTGGACTTAGCATCCTTGTCAAAAACCCATTGATCATAGATGTGTGGGTTTATTTTTGAGCTCTCAATTCTGTGCCACTGGTTTATGTGTCCGTTATACTAGCACCAGGCTGTTTTGATTACTGAAGTTGTATAACATGTTTTGAATTCAGGAAGTGTGAGTCCTCCTACTTTATTCTTCTCCTTCAAAATTGCATTAGCAATTTGGGGCCTGGCTATGTCCTATCTTAATCCATTAAGAAAACATGAAGTTAAAATCTTTTTAGTTTCATGATTTAAAATAGAGCGGCCTGAATGGTCAAAGAAAACCTGCTGTGATCTTTTTCACAATCCAAAACAGATTCATTTCTCTTTCTCCTGCTTACAAGATTGGATCCTTAGTTAGTGTCTCAGTTTTTTATTTGCTTTCTGCAAAAAAAGGTTTTTTGTTTTTTTTTTAAGGAAGGCATTTTAGATGTATTAAATTTGTTTGTGGCCCCAGAAAATCAATTAAAATATGTCTCTTACCGGGACTGTTTAGTTTTAGTTCTGTGATTTTTTTACCCTAAATAAACATATTTATTTCCATAAATAAACAATCTTATCTAAAGAGAGTAAGCTCTATTGAGGCTGTTGCCATTCTGAATTATCCTTAGTTAAGGTGATCCAGAGATTTAAAGAAACTATGTGTCTGAGGACTGAATATAATTGCAGGAGTTCCTGCTGAAAAAAAGCAAAAATAAAAAAAAAAGGGGGGTTTGGGATAGCTCCTAATTCTTGTCTCTAAGAAAATGAATAATCACTTTGTTAAGAAAGCATAACTATGGGGTCCATAGTGTTTATTCATGAACCCAGCTTGAGGGACTCCTAGTGACCTGTTCTTAGAATCCATGGATCCTAGTATCTTGAGCAGCTCAAATCTGAGCTAAAGAAAAGCCGTGAAATTGAGACTGCTCTGCCAAAGCTGGTTGTACTTCCCTCTGGTCACAAGACATCAGTGCTGGACCTGGTCTGGGAGAAGATCCCAATGCTGAACCTAGTTAGGAAGAAAAAACCTAATGCTACACCTGTTCTGGGAGAAACAGAGGAGAGATGGTTGGTCTCCATGGAGCTAAGATGAAGAGTGGAGCTCGTCGGGGATAACTTTACTTACATCGAGGACCTCAGAAACAGACCTCAGGGGAAACAGACAGCTGAATGTAGATTGTCAGATTCTCGCTGTCACCTTGTTGGACGCCTTGGGAGAAAACTCCAGATTCTGCTTTAGACACCTAAAAACAATTAAAAAAAAGAAAAGACACTGACAATTAAAGAGATTAACCATTTATTGAGAGAGAGGGAGAGAGAGGTTTGCAAACAGGCAGTCATTTCTAGAGAAAGTGCTGCATCTGTTGTGAAGTGTTTTTTGGCTTATGTGCCATTTAAAATCTTGTGATAAAGGAAAGAATGGACAGCTGGTTCTATGAAGGTTAAAGAGAGTGCAGAAGGACAGAGCCCATGGAATACACAAAATCCTAGAGATACAGGTTTTGGGAAAAAGAAATTTTAGGCTAAATATCTACCATCTGTTATTTTAAAGTGAGCAAGGTCCTTGGGAAGACAAGAAGGGCATTCTTAGAAGACTAATGAAATTGGTTTGCAGGGGCATATTTAATGATAAGATGATGCCTTGAAGTCCTGGGACATGCTCCAGGTTTCTTGGGAGTTATTTAACACCTCGAAGGGCTCAGACTGATGGGGAGATGGGCCATTCTGATTCTGGAGAAGGGCAGAGGCACAGCTAGTGTGGCTACAGCAGAAGGTGGCCGAGGCTGTTCTTGGGGTCCAGGGAGGTGCACAGCGGAGGGAGGAAGGACATTCCAGGGAGAGGGAACAGCGTGTACACAGGCACCAGGATGACACAGCATGATGTGTTTGGGAGACCTTGAGCCTTTTGGTGTTATTGGTGGGTGAAAAGGAGGGGAGAAGCAGGGGTGAGATTGGGGAGGTCAGTAGGGGCTGAGTTGAGGGCAATGAGGGGGATATTAAAGCAGGAAGAATGGCATGGTCAGATTATAGAATGACTACTCTGTGCCCTGCAGTGCTGGGCAGATGGGAGGGGGCCAGCAAGAGGCAATAAGGCTGTGGGGTGGGAGAAGAGGGATGGTTGAATAGTGGGAATCTGTGGGATTTGGTGTTGTGTTGGGATGTGGGGTATGAAGGGCTGAGAGAGAGGAGAGAGTGGCATGATATGTCAGCTCCCGGCTTGAGCAGCTGGTAGATGGCGGTGCTCTTCTCGGTGGGGGTGAGGTGTGGTGGATGGTGTTGCAAGGAGGATGGGTTTGGGGGAAGATAAAGAGTTCTGTCTGGCATTGCTGAGTGTAAAGTTCCTGTGGACCTTCCAAGAGTTGTCATGTGGGCACTGGCTGTTGGACTGTGGGACTCAGAGGCAGATACCAGCTAGAGGGTTGTTTTGGGGACTTGCTAGGGTCTGAGTGATAGTGGGGGAGGATGAAGTTGCCCAGCAGTGTATATCTGGTGAAATAAACACAAAATTCCACAGACTTGATGGTCCAGAAGGAACCCTTTAGCTGACTCTCACTGAGTCCCTGGCCTGTGGGAATATACCTTCAACATACCCTAGCAGCCCCACGGTGTCTCTCATTACTCCTATGCTTTCCCTGACCACCCTCAGAGGGAACGCCATTTCCTGGGGCCTGTGCTGGGCAGGTTAGGGAGGCCAGAATGGGGGTAGCAGAGGCCTCCTGGCCTACAGACATTCATCTGATGACACTCACTGAGAATGGCCTCATGTTGGGCCCAGGGGCTCCTGGGGTCTCTTTCCTCCCACCTCGGCCAGCTGCTTGCAGAACCCAGAGACCCTGAGACTGCCTCTGATTTTGCACACTCCCCACCATATCCTGGGACACACTGTGCCTGGGGGTAGTGGTGGGTGAGCCTGGATCTGAGTTTCTAGGCCAGTTGGCCACTGAGTGATCTTGGTTTCCATAGTGAATCCTCCTGCTTCCCTACCTACTACCTCCCACTGAGTCTGCAGAGTACTGGGAAAATCATATTTATTAAAGGTTTTGACATACTCTGTCACCATATGCAAAATCCCTGCCAGCCAGCCAGCCGCATCCCCATCAACCCTCCTTCTGTGAAGGCTCAGGACCCAGGGACCCAACTGCCCCAGGCACTGACCCCTGGGTGGGCTTCCTGAGCCTCACAACCACCCTCCTGATCTGTCTCGATGCAAAAGAGGGGCCACTTCCCTTGCTGGCTTTCCTGGGTGGGGACCTGGTTGTCCTATACGCTGGCCTTGCTGGCTTTGTATACCCACCTGTACTCATTGGGGCCAACTGGTCCTTCTCATCTTGTGGGTGCCCTTCCTGGCAGAATACATATTTCTGGCATGTGTCAGATTGATGAGTTTGATATTTATGGCATCACTTGCCCACCAGGTAGATGACCTCACTGAGGTTAAGCAGCATGCAAATGACAGCTGTGGACACCATGAAGTAGGTAAAGACCTTCTTCTCCATGGATCTGGAGATATAATAGTCCACAGTGTGAGGGCATGGTACCACAGAGCAGGCCACCACTCAGGACATGTCATAATCCTTGTAGAGGTGATGTAAGATATAGAGGAAGATGGCTTTGAAGGTGGCCTTGAAGATGAGACTCAGAAAGTACCACCCATGGAGCTTCTTGACCTCATCATACAGGGACAAGGTTTTGTGCCTGTGCTTCAGGGGGTGGCAGGCTTCAAGGTCCTTGTGGTGCTCATGATTCTTTGAGTTTATGCAGTACTTGCTATAAAACACATGCATACCTGCAGTAAGCCTCGCTTGACTGAGATGAAAGGCAGGGTCCAGAGGCATATGTTGGACAAGGGGAAAAACTTGTCTTAGCAGATGTTGAGGCAACCTGGCTGTTTGGTGTTGCAGACAAAGTCCTTCTACTTGTTCCCCCATATTTCCTTGGTGGTACACCATCAGATGGAAGAACAACACCATGGACAGCCAGATGGGGCTCAGTGCCTTGAAGTTCATGTTCTTGATGCTCAGGAGGTCCAGCAGAAACTTCCAGTCCATGATGATGGTGTCCCTGGGCTTTCAAGTGAATGGGTCCACATCTCTGCATCACCCTCTCAAGCCTTGGGGGTCATGAGGCCCAGGAGGACCTGGACGTGTGTACCCCTTCTTGATGGCATAATTGACAAAACTCTTTAATAGACACTGTGTTGCTGTGTCCTCACGTGTTATGACTTGATAGGATAGGGGTTGTCATAAATCCCATTTCAGAGAGGAGTAAACCAAGGCCTAACCCCTATAGTTGGATGTAGTGGAGCTACCTTGCTCTTCCAGTTACAAAATCAGGGATTCTTTTATTCTGTCAAGCAATAGATAAATGTGAATGATAGTCATCCTTCACGGACATGCCACGGACATTACCACAAATTTTAGCTCTACTGACCATAGTGGGTTTATCTGGATTTCCAACCATTCCAGCTTTAGGGAGGGACTGGGGAAGGGATAGAGGTGCAATTCCAACATGATTATTCCACTGATTATTTCTATCTCAAGAATGTCCCCTCTCCCTCCATCTGTTTGCTGGCTGTGGTAGTTAAGGTTGTGTGTCAACTTGGCTGGGCCATGGTTTTGAGTGTCTGGGCAGCTGGATGTAGCTCTTCCCCATGATGAGATTTTAATCACATCCATGGTTGAATCTGCTGTGAGTAGCCAAGTAGTTGCCTTTTGGGGGTGGCCTGCTTCCAGTATATAAGGAGAAGTTTTGAGAAAGGTCTCTAGCTTGTTAGTACATTTTGGATCCTATGTTTGCCCGAGTCTTCATTTCCAGTTCCTGGATTTGAACCAGTGGCCTGCCATGTGCCTGTTGATCTTGGAATTGTGCCATTCTGCTTGCCAACTTTGCAAACTGCCAGACTCAGCAACCAGCAGCTGCATGAGTTATGAGAAGACTCCAGCTCCAGTGGGCCTGGAATAAGAGACAGCTGAAGCCCAAGATTTAGAGGCCTTCTCCTTGCCCCTGATCTCAGACTTCTAGCCTCCTAAGCTGTAGGAGAATAAACTCCTGTTGGTTAAAGCCATCTACTTGTGATATGTCTGTTATAGCAGCATTCGAGAACCAAGACATAAGCCAAGGTGACCATTATTTTTATTCAGCCCCTATCCTACGTCCTCCAGCTTCACACCCCCTATGTGGAGTCCCCATCATGTTCCATCACCAGCCCCTGGCCCTGTCTAAGCCCTCTGCCTCTTCAGAGCCTGCTGACATCAACCTCTGGGAAGCCTTCTCTGTCCCAACCCTGAGCACCCTCCTCTTCTTCTTCTGTGGCAGAACGCACCACTTGTTCTCAAATGGTCTGTTTACCTGTCTACTGGTCACACTGTCAGCAGCTGGAGAACACATGCATCCCTGCAGTGAGCCTCACTTGACCGAGATGAGGTGCAGGGCCCAGGGGCATCTGTGAGACAAGGGGAAAAACTTGTCTTAGCAGATGTTGAGGCATGTGATTTCTATCACATTCACCTCTGCTTCCTCAGGATCCAGCAAGCAGCCTGGCCCAGTGGACCTACAACAAATGTGTGTTAAATAGAACTGAAATGACATTTCTTCCTGATCCCTCCTCTCCTCTTCCTTATATTTTCTTTGGTCCTCTGCTGTCCCTTTGGTTGGCAAGAAATTCCTCTCTCTCTAATAAGTGTTTTCCAGGAGCTCTGGTAGCATAGTGGCTAAAAGCACTTGACTGCTAACCAGAAGGCTGGTGGTTCAAACCCACCAGCCACTCCTCGGAAGGAAGGTTGGGCAGTCCTACTTCCGTAGTGATACTGCCTCGGAAACCCAAGGAGGGGTCGCTATGAGTCAGGGCCGACTTGACGGCACATAACAACAACAACAACAGGGGCTTTTCCAGGGACCCTGACCCATCCCCTCTCTGAAGCCAGCCTGTAGCCCGACGGCCCCTGGGCATCCTCAACCCAGCAGAAGCCCTGGTTTCCCAGTACAATCTCCCTCATCTTGGTCCTCACCCTTCTTGAGTCCAGCAGTTGATCTCCTGGCCCTGGACTTGTCCATTTGCCAGAGGGCCTCCTGGAGGCAGCTTTTGTTCCTCACTTCCCTGCTGGGTGGAACTTTCTGAGCCAGAGAGCCAAGAGACAGTGACTAGGTGGCCAGGCAGACAGTGGCCTTTCCCAGACACATATTTAGAGGGAAGAACTGGGGCCATTCTCTACTGATCCATGCCTTCTCTCCAGGCAGTTTGGGCAGGGCTGGACCTGACTCCCTGAGGTTGCAGGTATGTGGTGTCTTAGTTTCTCTGTGCTGCTATAACAGAAATAGTACAAGTGAGTGGCTTTAACAAATATAAATTTATTTCCTCACAGTTTATGAGGCTAGAAGTCCAAATTCAGGCCACTGACCTTAGAGGAAGGCTTTCTCTTGCTCTGGGGGAAGGTCCTTGTCTCTTTTTAGCTTCGATTCTTTGGTCCCTTGGTGATCTTCATGTGGTATGTATCTTATGTTTCTGCTTGCTTCTGTGTGCCTAATCCCACCCTCATATGGTCTCATTAAAGTGGCAAAGAAAATCTTATTCCTAAATGGGATTGCATAGGATTTGTAATACATATTTATAAGGGATACAATTCAAACCATAGAAGCTAGTAAGACCTCAGTGCGGGGGGGTGGGGGGTGGGAAGAAGGAGCCTGGTAGCCTCACACCCAGGCCCAAGTCAGCACCAATGAGACCATCCTATACCTTCCTGTTGCCTTATCACCCCATGTCCCCCAGCTTCTTCCTTCAGAGTTTTTTTCTGGAACCTTGGTTCTGACATTTATGGAAAGGGGCAGTCTCAGGTCAGATCCAGAAGGCATCCCACCCTTGTGGAGAGATTTCTGGGGATTGCTGCTTTCTGCTGAGCTTGGACTCCTCTTAGGAGTGCATCCCAGTGGGTGCTGCAGAGGGGCCTTGGGCTTGTCTTACCTTCAGGACAGTGAAGTTAATGTGCAGTCAAGGAGGGGCCTCTCTGCCTCATTTCCCACAAGCATTTCTTGAGCTCTTCCTAATACCAGTGATGAACATTTATGTGGTCTTTTCCAGCTGGCTAAACCTTTCCACAGCCATGACCTCATTCATCCTGGCCTCACAACCACCCCACAGGGTAGGTATATTAACCCCATTTTGGAGAGAAGCTGAAAGCACTTTCCTGGAATCCCAGTGGAACTTGGATAGGATCAGGCATCTGACACCGGGACCCTGTCTTCCCCCTGCAGCCCACAGCCCATTGCAGACTGAGCTCCATTCTCCTTTGAGAGAACCCATAGGCCTAAAACTGCATGTGGGGAGGAAGGCTAGATGAGTATGGACAAATAGTGTGGGCCCCAGGAGTGCTGGGAGACCCCTTTTTCTGGAGGAGAGGCTGGCTCCTCATCTGGCTGGATCCAGCACAGCACTTTGCAGAACCAGAGGGACTGACACAATGACCCGAAAAGGGTCACGAATGTCAGAGGACCAAAGACTGCTTGAGTGAATGAATTGATTTTTATTAAGCCCTGACCATGGGTCACACACGTAGAAGGCATTTGCATGTGTTGTTGTTGTTATGTGCCGTCGAGTCGGACCCGACTTATAGTGACCCTTCTTTGGGTTTCTGAGGCAGTATCACTATGGAAGTAGATTGCCCCATCTTCCTTCCGAGGAGTGGCTGGTGGGTTTGAACTGTCAGCCTTCTGGTTAGCAGTCAAGTGCCTTAGGCACTACGCTAAACATCCCTCACAACAGCCCTGTGAGGTGACATCAGTGTGATCATTTTATAGGAAAGGAAACTGAGGTGCAGAGCAGAGGAGTAATTTGCCCGAGATCACACAGTGAGGCAAGTGGCTGGAGTTTAGGAATAGGGATTTGATCCCAAGCTGTCTGACTTCTCCCTCTTGTCTCCCCCAATTCGAGGCTCAGCTCTCCCTGCCCCCTGGCTGCATCCCATTAGCACATTTACTGATGGGAGCCCCATCACTGCTGGGATGCTGTTGACCTTCCAGGCCCAGCCTTGAGTCGTCTGGGCAGTCCCTAACAGGAGAGTTTTCTTCACATGGTCCTAAGGGTGGTTTGATAAGAAAGATGAAGTCACCTGAGAGGAGGCCATCCTGCTTGCAGGAGGAGGGGGCACAGTTCAGTTGATGCCCTATGTATGGAGCCTTGGCTCTCCTGGCTACACACGTTGGAACATTTGTGTTGGCAGATGTTGCAGTCAAAATCCTTGTGGTTATTGCTCTGCATGTGCTCAGTCATCACTAGGTACACCAGCACACAGAAGAGAAAGATCAAAGATAGCCAGATACTTGCTGATTCTATTCAGGAGTCCCTTGAACCTCCAGTACATGGTGGGCCCAAACATCGGCTGCCACTACAGGGAAATGATAATAATAATTATTCACATTTATGGAATGCTCACTCTGAGAAGTTTATGGGAGGATGTCATCATATTTAACCCTTATAGCCGCCTAAGAGCTAGATTCTATTCTTGACCCCATTTCACAGATGAGGAAACTGAGGTTCAAATGGGTTATACAAGGTTACATTACTATTAGGTACAGAGCTGGGATTTAAACACAGGCAATTTAAATCTAACTCTTAGCTTTACAAGTGGGTCAAGGCAGGACCAAGGAGACACCCAATCCTCCCAGGGCTTGCGATGCTGGCCTTGTAGGCCTGCACAGTGACAACTTATGGAGGTGCACATTCTGTCTTTTTCCTCTGCTCCAACTTTGGCCCTTCTCCTCAGGTGGCTGAGTCTTGGGCTGACATCTTCTCCCCTCTCTGAGCACCACTGTCTCTGTTAGACAGCCCCCTCCACAGGGGAACCAGGTCTTTGAGCCCTTAACTTGGCTTGGGGTTGGGACTGGAGAGGAGGCTGGAAAAATGTCCCCAAAGCCCTGTCTGTTATAACACATAAACATCCAATGTCCTGCTCAGGGGGACTCACTTGAAGCAAGGCCCAAAGTAGTCAGATGAAGGTTGGAGTGAGGAGCAATGGTTCTCTTTCTACTGTAAGTTTTCTAGAGCAGGCTGGCATTTCAGTGTTTCCCAAACCAGTGCTTGATGGGCTGGCCACAGGAATGGTGAAAGGATGCTATGATCAGCAAAATGAAATAGGTCCGTTTACTTGACCATGCTAATAAATTCACACCGTGAATCTCCACAGGAA